TGTATTTTCCATGAATTTGTCTGCCTTTTCCATGAATTTGTCTATTTTTTCTTCATTTTTATCTGCTTTTTGCTTCAACTCTTGGATAATTCTGAGTATTAGAGATTTAAATTCCCTATCAGTTAGTTCTAGTGCCTTTCCTTCTACTGGAAAATCATCTGGTGTTTTATTTTGGACACCTACTGGAACCATTCTGTCCTGTGTTTGTAAATGTTTTGAAATTGTCTGCTGTCTTCGGGGCATTCAGCAGTTATTTTTCTCGTTTATTGATTGTAGATTTGTTTGTTTCCTCCTTTTTTTTTTTTTTTTCTTTAAAATTTGGCTATGTCTGAGCAGGCAGGCTGTGTGTTCTTTGTTGTTTGCTCATCTTTGGGCATGATACTTTTCGCCTCCTTCTCCAATTAGCAGAGTCAGTCACTCAGATATGGTACAGCAGGGCAGGTCTAGCTGAAAAGGAGTTGCTGGGATGGGTTGTTTGTGGCACTTACTAAAGCCACCAGGGCAGGTTGGTAATCAGTGCAGGGCAGGTTCTGGTAGGCCATGCCTGTGCTGCTTGGTGGTGTGATGTTAAGTGCACGGTGCAGGTAGGCAGGATGGAGAGGGGAGACTGCGATGTGTGGAGCTAAGATGGGTATGGGAGAGAGGAGAGAGGAATGGGAGCCAAAAACATACAAACAAAAAAGAGTGCTAGGGGAGCTTGTCATTGGAGTGGAGAGATGAGAGACTATGAAATGGAGAAAAACAAAAAGGGGAAGAAGAAGAAAGAAAAGAATGAACAAATAAAAATTAGAAAGAAAAAAGAACAAAAAAGCTCCCAGGGATTCCACCGGTGAGGCTACGAGGTCTGGGGAAGTTGTTCCCAGGTGTTGAAGTACAGCCTGGCTAGGAGGCATAGAGGTATTCAGCACCAGGTATCCAGGGGACAGGAAGAGAAGGAAGGTATACAGAGAAAAGAAACTGAATAATGAAGAAAAACAAAAAGGGAAAAAGAGGGAAAAGAAAACAAAACAAATTAAAAAACAAACAAACAAGAAACCCCCCCCCAAAAAAAAAAACAAGAAAAAAACCATGAAAAAAGAAATGCCCTCAGGGATCCTTCTGCATGTCTGCGCAAGTGGAGGGGGTAGGTCCCAAGCTGCACAGCACCGCCTGGCCAGAACGGGCTCCCAACTCGAGAAAAGAAAAAGCAAGCAAGCAAACAACTGAAAACAAACAAACAAAAAATAGCCCCAGGATCCCACCAGCATGGCAACACGGACTGGGAAGCAGTTCCACACTCGAATGGAGCTCCACAGCCCCTCAGGAAGAAGCAGAGATGGCGCACAGAGCCAGGTATTTGAGCAAAAGGAGGGAGAGGTGGTGAGAGGTAAGGAAGAAATCAAAAGAAGTGGAAAAAAGCACAACCAGCAGCCAACAAATGGCACTCAGGGAGTTGGCCAGTGAGGGCAGTTGGAATCCAAGCAGCCGGTACTTCCCGGCCAAGGGACTGTGGCTGTGGGAAGCAGAGGAGGACGAGTGGGGGTGAAGAAGGGTGGGTGTGAAGAAGGGTGGGGGGTGGGAAAGCGTATATCGCTGTTTACCGGTTGTTCTGTCTCCTGCTGGAAGCTCCGTGAAGCTGCTTTCTCGTACCCCCTATTTGCTGGTTTCTGATAAGAGCCCAAGATGGCGGATCCGTGCTGCATTAGCTGATAGGGGACCTTTCCATGTACGTCTCCTTGCTCTCTGTTCGCTGTCAGCTTCCTATTCCATTTGGTGCTCGGCTGAGTTCTTTCTCTCTTCATTTGAAGTTTAGGATTTCAGGATTGTTGTTTTCTCTGTTTGGCTTAGTTTTTCGGATCTTTGCTGTGGAGGGACGGCGTGGTGCTTCTGCCTAGAGCGTCATGTTGCCGGAAGTCCTAAAATGAAATTCTTAATGACTTCAATCTTTTCTCTGCTTATCATGATGTTGCTTATTAGTCCAGTTGTGAAGGTTTTTATTTATGTTGAGGTGTAATCCATACTGAAGGCTATAGTCTTTGATCTTCATCAGTAAGTGTTTCAAGTCCTCTTCGTTTACAGAAAGCAATGTTGTTCACCTGCACATTGCAGGTTGTTAATGAGTCTTCCTCCAATCCTGATGCCAACTACTTCTGTATATATTCTGGCTTCCAGGATTATTTACTCAGCATACAGATTGAATAAATATGGTGAAAGAATACAACCCTGACACACACCTTTCCTGATTTTAAACCATGCAGTATCCTCTTGTTCAGTTCAAAAGACTACCTCTTAGTCTACGTACAGGTTCCTCATGAGCACAATTAAGTTGTCTGGAATTCCCATTCTTTGCAATGTTATCCATAATTTGTTATTGAATGCCTTTGCACAGTCAATGAAACACAGGTAAACATCTTTCTGGTATTCTCTGCTTTTAGCCAAGATTCACCTGATATCAGCAATAGTATTCCTTGATTCACATCCTCCTCTGAATCTGGCTTGTATTTCTGACAGTTTTTTCAGTTGGAAAAATGCCAAGTGTGTTCTTCCCTTTTGGTTTTCTAATTCCAGGTCTGTGCATATTTCATTACAATACTTTATCTTCTCAAATTGTCCTTTGAAAACTTCTGTTCAGCTCTTACTTCATCATTTCTTTTATTCGGTCTTGCAACTCTACGTTCAAGAGCAAGTTTCAGTCTCTGCTGACAACCATTTTGGTCTTTTCTCTCTTTTTAATGACCTCTTGCTTTCTTCATGTATGAAGTCCTTGATGTCATCCTATAACTCGTCTGGTCTTGGTCATTAGTGTTCAACGCATCAAATCTATTCTTGAGATGGTCTCTACATTTAGGTGGGATATACTCAAGGTCATACTTTGGCTCTGGTGGACTTGTTTTAATTTTCTTCAGCTTCAACTTGAACTTGCATTTGAACAATTGATGGTCTGTTCCACAGTCGGCCCCTGGCCTTGTTCTGATGATGTTGAGCTTCTCCATTGTCTCTTTCCACAGACAGAGTCGATTTGATTCCTGTGTACTCCATCCAGCAAGGTCTATGTGTATAGTGTACTCCATCCAGCGAGGTCTATGTGTATAGTTGCCATTTATGTTGTTGAAAAAAGGTATTTCCAATGAATAAGTCCTTGGTCTTGCAAAATTCTATCATGTGATCTCTGGTATCATTTCTATTACCAAGGCCATATTTTCCAACTACTAATTCTTCTCTGTTCCCAACTTTTGCATTCCAATTACCAGTAATTATCAATGCACCTTGACTGCATGTTTGATCAATTTCAGACTGCAGAAGTTGTTAAAATCTTCAATTTCTTCATCTTTGGCCTTAGTGGTTGGTGCATAAATTTGAATAAGAGTTGTATTAACTCATCTTCATTGTAGGCGTATGGATATTATCCTATCACTGACAGCACTGTACTTCAAAATAGATCTTAAAACGTTCTTTTTGATGATGAATGTGCCACCATTCCTCTTAAATTTGTCATTACTAGAATAGTAGACCATATGATTGTCTGACTGAAAATAGCCAATATCAGTCCATTTCAGCTCACTAATGCCTAAGATACTGATCTTTATGTGTTCCATTTCATTTCCGATGGCTTCGAATTTACCTAGATTGATACATCCCACATTCCAGTTATTAATGGCTGTTTGAAACTGTTTCTTCTCATTTTGGGTCGTGCCACATCAGCAAATGAAAGTCTGGAAAGCTTGATTCCATCCACGTCATTAAGGTCAACTCTACTTTGAGGAGTTGTATTTCATGTGCCTTCCAACCTGAGGGGCTCATCTTCTGGCATTATACCAGACAATGTTCCGCTACTACTCCTAAGGTTTATACTGGCCAACTTTTTGGGAAGTAATTACCAGGTCCTTCTTCCTACTCTTCTTAATCTGGAAGCTCTGCTGAAACCTGTCCACCAATGGTGGCCCTGTTGGTATTTGAAATACCAGTGGCATAGCTTTCAGCATCACAGCAACACGCAAGCCACCACAGTAAAACAAACTGATAGACGAGTGGTGGGCACAGTGCCTAGCATATCATGAATACTAAGTGTTGATTATTACTGTCATTATCAGTAATGTTGTTACTATTTTTTTATTTGATGCCTCCTGTCATGTATGCCATCTGAATATGTTTGGGGGATTGAGAATTTTAGAATTCTGAATTCTCACAGTGCTTCAGAAATATGTTCAAATTTTTTTTTATTGCTAATCAGTCTCAATATTTAGAAAGAGTAACAGGACCTTAAAAGTGAGTTATAAAACTCATACAGTACACGATTTCATGGACAGAAGTTTCTTCTGTAAATAATTTTCAGAATTAATTTCTTGCAAACTGATCTCCCACTAGCCCCCCAAATCTCACAAGTATAAGGAGTCCATAAATCAAACAAACTGTTGAGTCTTGGGGTCATGAAAAGAAGGACTAACTCACAGCATAACAGACCTTGGTTAATCTGGAAACATCTTCATAATTCTTATTTATCAATCATGACATGGGCATGTATCATCATTTGACAAATGACCTCATCAAAATCCTATTAAAGGTCTGCTTAACCTTTAGCCTTACCTCATCCTTTATATCTTCCTGTTGTTGGGCTGTGAAGATCTCCATTGCAGCCATGAGTCTCATCATTAACTCATCCACTGTTGTGTTTCCTAGCAACACATGGAGATTGCCAAACTTCATATTATTAAAGTTATTAAAAAATGGAAAGTCCATTCTAGAATTAATCAGAAAGGAATAACTACAGTCTAAAAAAAAATACAGATTAGTATGCTAATATCTAATTAAAATAGTTACATGTTTTCATTGAAATATTTCAGTAAGAAAGAGTAAAGCAGTATACTGGCAGTTGAAATTCCAGAATATTCCTATTTGAGGGACCAATCTCTTAACTGGAAGAACTTTTAGCATTGTAAAGAGGAATGTCCAAGTCATGAGTACAAAAAGTCCTTTCAAGTTATGAAAACATACCTATTTAATAACCCTAGCAACAACTACCATTTGTTTACATACCAGTGATAAAGATAAGCACTTTACATATATTATCTTACTTAATATGAAGGTCCCATTATAGATTTTATAAAGAAGAAAACCAAGGTTTAGAGAGCTTAAGTAACCTGCTCAACCAAGGTCAAGCTGATTACGTGGTGGGGCCAGGATTTGAAACCAGATGGATGTGACTCAAAAGCCACTTTAGTACACTGTCCTTTAATTAGTATTATCTCTTGTTATTAAAAATTCCCTAGTGAAACAAACAAAACTCAATTTCTGAAAAAAATTTGGTTTCTTTTTCTGCCCAATTGATATTTTTCCCTCTCGGGCTACTTTCAAATTACTATACAATAATCTTTATGAAGAGGGCATTTTAAAAAAGTTCGATTTTCCTTAACATTATTTTATTCTCCGTCCAAGTCGATAACAAACATATAGCACATATATGTCCTTTCCTGGATGTATCAAGTCCTTGTTATTTGCTTTGGATGCATCTACAAAAAAGCAATGTGTGAGGATACGTAAAGATATATCACTTCTTCTCTTTTCTCAAACTACAAGCAGAGTGAGTTTTCCCCCAGGGCTGAAGAAGGGGTCTTCTTGACTCATTAATGAAATGGCCACCAACGGGATAATGAACAGCAAGCATCTTAGCTGGTGCCTTTCCAGAGAAGGGCTTGATTATATGATCAATCAATGGTCCTTTTCCCAATTTTTCTTATGACCACTGACAGCATGGGGTTAGGGAGCATCTGTGGTCCTTAGCAAAAAAATGATCCAATTTGGTCATATCAGCACAACTCTCTCAATAAATGAGCTATAGAACAAATGTTACCTTGGTGTGGTATTATAGTACTGAGAAAATGGAACTGGTCTTGTAGTCATAGTTCCAACCGTAGTTCCACTACTTATAAGCTAAATGATCTAGTACCTAGAAATTGTCTAGCACTTCATAAATAAACATCCACTTAATAAACAAATAAATGACCACGTGTGTGAGTGAGTGACTGCAGCTCTCTAAGGATCAATTTTTTTTTTTAAATCTTCAAAACAGGGATAATACAATCTCTGTAGGGTTCTTAGAAAGATTAGAGATAACATAAAGTGCCTGGTACATAATGCGTACAAAATCATTTGTAGTTATTATTATTAATAGATATGACAGATGGTAAAAAGTTTAGCAGCATCTTCAGTGTAGATTTTGTTACTGGGCAAGTCTCTGGGCTTCCATATCTCATTTGCAAACTGTAGTGACTAAGGTTCACAGCATCGGGCATAAACACTTTATGAAGTGTACTGAAATCTTTGATGGGAAAATACTACAGTTGTACAGGGAACTACACACGGGCCATTAATTTTCAGACTTAAGTCACTGCTCATCAGGTATGCTTCAGCCTTATCTGGAAGGACCCACTGCCAAACTGGACTTGTAGGTACTTTATACTTAAGCCCTTAATGATCCAAGATGGAGAAAAGTACCAGTTAAAGCAGCTCAAGGCCAACTTAGAGTCTACTACAGTGGTTCTCAAACATTTTGGTCTTAGGCCCCCTTTACATTCTTCAAAACTAATGAGATCCCAAAAGAATTTTTGTTTATGTGGGTTATAGCTACTAATATTTACTGGACTAGAAGTTATAATGGAAATTTTAAAAACATTTATTTATCAATTCATTTAAAGGTAATAATAAACCCACTACATGTTAATAGAAATATCACATTTTAATGAAAAAATGACCATATTTTCCAAATTAAAAAAAAAAAAAAGTTTAGTGAGAAGAGTGGCACTGTTTTAATATTTTTGTAAACGTCTTTAGAGTTTAACTTAATAGAAGAAAACTGGATTTTCGTATCTACTTTTGCATTAAACCGATCACAATATGTTGCTTTGGTTGAAATTTATCAAGAAAATCTGGTCTCACACAGACACGTGGATGGAAAAAGGAACGTTTTAATAAATAATCGTGGATATTCTTCTTTGATACTATACCCAAACTGATAAGTGAAGTTTCTTTAATGGTGCAATGTGGAATTTGAACCCATATCAATGAACTGTGTGTGCTTTGTTACATTAAGATCCATTGGTCGTACTTTGAATGGATCTTTTACCAGCGCATGATTTTATAACATCATGGCATTAGTCATTTGGAAAATACTGGCTCACTGAGTTACACATATCTTCTGAATGCTGATACATGCAGAAGACTATATATAAAAAAATCACATTTTTAATACCATCAGAAAAGTATATACGTTGTCAATCTTATGGTGATGGATATAAATTTTCTTTTGAAAGTTCCATTTTTATCACTGGCAACAAATACTGTCAATTATTTTCTTCAAGTGACAGACTCACTTTGTTCATTTTGGAGAAAATGTCTGTCAAATACCCAGGCTACATGACCACAGTTTGTCTGTCAGTCATATTTTCAAGTAAAAATGATCTTCAGTAAAAAAAGTTTAGCTCACAACTGAAGCAACCACAAGTATTTTGGTATGCCGCAGAAGTGCTTTATGCATGCCTCCTGTTGTGTCATACAAAACTATTAATAGGGTTGAGATTTTAAGAATACGACGATATGACTGATGACTACCAGTACAGTTTTGTGCCACGGCCTTGGTTAGTGCTAAGGTGCCAGCAGTTCTACACACCATTGCCTTGGCACCACTACTGCAAACGTCAACACAGTGAAAAAGGCAAATAACATCTGTGTATTATTATGAAAATAATTTTGACCTTGTGGATTCTCTGAAAGGGTCTAGGGACCTGGGGGAGGGATGCCGAAGGGAGAGGTAGTAGTGGTCCCTGGACTACACTTAGAGAACCACTAGCTGTTGCAATATTGTCTCTGACAGGAAAAGCAGCAATGAAATGTTATCTTCATTACCCATTTACCCTATGCAAATCAGTTCCCCCAGCAGGTCTTCTTAAATACTGTTTATGAAACTACATGCTCTAGTTATACAGAAAATAGAAAATAGGACAGGTTTTATTTTATTTGAGTTTTTAAAGATCTGGAATTTACCTCCCCTTCTCCTATCGTATTATCTGCTACAGAACTTCTGACTTAAATGGGGGCAGAATGAAATACCCCAGATAGTATACAAGCTTTAGCTTAGGGCACTTAAAAATCTTTTCCTTGTAGCACAGTGAAGATATACTGTTTTCAATTTAAGTTTTACCACAAATAAGGTAATATTTTACACTATATATATCATTCACTTATTTTTGTGTAAAGAATATGCACCATGGTTAAATTCACAGGCATCCTATAGGTTCATGCCTCAGGGTTCCAGCCTAGACATGGATTCACACAAATAAGGAGAAACAACTACCCCTGTGAACTATTTGATTTGCAATATACAGTCACTGGATTTTCTACATAACTGAAGATAAGCATTTCTTTCAACAAATCAACATTACAGCAAGAAATCTATATATGAAATGTCATATTTGACAACTGATTATGACCTAAATGCTAGTTTAGAGAACTTAGCAATTCTGAACATTTAACTTGAATATCTATGTCCCAGGGGCTGTGTAATTTTATTAAGATGTTTGTTGGATTTTCATGTAATGCATTAATTTTTCATAGTACCTATACTTTTTGAAGATGTTCTTCCCTCAGGATATTCTATAATTTAAAATGCAAAAATATTTATCAACAAAAATATTGTAAGGTTTGAAAATAAAAATTATCAGATCATCACATACATGAGACTCTATTCCCCTTTGACATGTACTTTACCTTGTATCACATTTAACACTTCATTAGATGATCGCTTTCCCATAATAATCAGGAAAAGTGGAAACTGATCTGTTTTTTGAGTCCGAATGGTTTGTGCAACAACACTGCCAAAGTGTCTATTGCACATTGTCAGAAATCTAAAATGAGATAAAATCCAAAGTAAGTTTCATTTAGGAGTTTAAAAAAATTTACTAGCATCCCAGCAAAAAACTCTTTGTTTTATTAGTTATGTTAATATTAGAGAAGCCTGCCTTATATCAGTATATAAAATCTTCCTATATTGATTTTTCAACTAAATCATAAATAATTATCATAAGAAAAGCAGGAAACACATCCTAAATGCAGTCTGGGGTTTACAGCATAGGATTCTTAGTTCTAAGCATGGCAAGCTGTACTAGCCTAAACTATAAGAAAACAAACCAAATGAATTTGAAGAAGAGAGAATTTCTTAAATAGGGCAAACAACATGGTGTGGTACAAAGATAAATTGAGTAGTATCATCCTAAGAAACAGGATTTAGCAATGAAAACATTTTCACAAGTTATTAGAAACAAGAATTACACTTCAGTGTTTTCTTCAGTAATAGCAGGTCTTCTAGTTTCATACTTAGTATGAGATAAAAATAATAATTCTAAGCTTTTGACCAAAAAAAGCTAAGAGATATTAGCATACCGAAGTCTAGCATTAGTATTCTTAACACGATCTGGAATAAATGAAAAAACTGATAAAGCTTTTCTCTTCTATTAGAGGACTGTTTGAAATTAGCATTTCTTTCAAGAGAAAAGGGTAGCTTATGATATGTTTTCAGATCTGATGGTAAAAAGTAAATGTCATAATAATAATGAATTATGAAAGACCAAATGCAAATATAGAATGCTTTAATAAGATCCAATTTAATAAAGTCTGTAAAAATAATGGACTTTTAATAACACAGGTCACAAAAGGCAAAACAGTGGAAATTCTAGGGACTAGCCACTGGTACTGGCTTATTAATTCTTAATTATGTTCATGAAAGGCAACTTAAATCATGTGTTTTCTTATGCCTTATGATAATATTTCAGGTAACAACTCCTCTGAAATGTATGTTCTAGCTGATGAGCCAAGTCCTGTCGTCACATGCATTAAGAAGGTAAATCTATTTGAAAAGACAAACGGCATTAAAATGTCATGTGCTCAGATTCATTTGATATCCAAATTCAAAACAGAATCAAACCTCTTAATTTTTAAAGCCAATATATTTCTTATCTATAGAAATTCATCCCAGAAATTTAGGCTGACTCCTCCTCAAAACCTATGCTGTGACTACAGAAACCAGACTGTGTTAAGGGCCACCAAAACTGTTGGCAAGAGTGTCAAGAAAAGTTAGCACCATTGTAATGAATTCATTGGGAGGCATGTTCATATACACACTCACAGCAGCAATAACCAGAACTCATGGCGATTTGAAATGACAAGGCCTTAAGAAATCCATTGTTGGCCATGAAATTTCAGTGCCCCCATGAAAATTCAGATCTTCACATTCCACAACTATTATGGGATAAGCAGCTTAAGCCTCCATACCAAATTTCACACCCATATAGCTTCAGCTCATGAATGGGGATATATACATCAGGAGACTGTAAAGTTAGGGTCTCATTTTTCTTTCTGCTTCTTACTAAAATATTTGAAGTCAGTCTTGACCCTGATCTGTTCATTGGCAACCTCTGAAATTAAAGACGTCAAAATCAGTTGGAATGCCATTTCTTACAAAAGACAGAAAATAAGTCCTTGTTGCTTTCACACCAATGGATTAAGTGGCTATCACACAGCAGATGCCCATCACAGCACTAGCCTCACAAGTGATATTAAATACTGGCTGAACAGTACAAGATATCCACCCAATCCCTCAAAAATGGTAAAAAAGGGAGAAAGGAAGGAAGGGTCTATAAGGCTTAGTAGTTTCCAGAATTTAATTTCAAGACAATTTGCCTGGAAATTGTGTACTTCTCAAATTCTCTTTTTGTAAACATGAGCTAGAAAGGAAAATAATTAAAAAATGTAGGTATCTTTTTAGGTTTAAAATAATATATAACATAAATATCAAAACTACACAAAGCATATTCAAGAGATACACTTCCTTCAAAGACACACAGCCATTCAATTAACTAGAAGATACAACAAAGTGATTAGTTTTCTGCCAGGTATTGGCAAATTACTCTAATTTTTTGGAAGCAGTTAAGAAATATATGGGGATCATACAGCCAGCTGATACCTTCTAGTGGCCTTAACTAACAATTTGTTCTAATCAAAGAGGGACTTTGTTAAAATTTTAATTAATCTTCCTGAGACCCGAATCATGTTTATTTTGAGATTTTCAAAATGCAATCGAGAGCCTGTAGGGCCAATGGACAGTACCAAATTACAAAATTCCTACTTGTCCTTTCATTATAATTTACAAGGACTTAAAGAAGCACTTCACAAGGTATCAAATCTTTCTCACGGCTGGGAGGCTCTACTTCTTCCCCTTCAAAATCCCACAACAAAGTCACCATATACAGCACATGACCAGTGGCAATAAATTCAGTTCAAAACATTAGAACAAAAACAGGAGCGGGAAAAACAAGTTGTTGTTCTAAGAGAGAAAGTACGGTTCTCCTAATTGTGGTATTTTCTTCCTTTTGAAGACAAAAATATTTGCCAGTGCATCCAGGGGCAGCACTAAAGTTGTCAGCCTAACTGCACATGGGGCTCATCAGAGTCAGATATCATGAAGGGACTCCTAAAATCTCAAACCCAAAAAGGAAAGCAATGACAACTATTTTGTGACAAAGTGAAATCGCTTTGTTTTTTAATTACAAAAGATTTGGATAAATCAAACAACCAACATATTATAAAGTTATCTGAGGAGGAAAATAACAAGTTGTCAAATAAACCCTCAAAGCCACAAGCCAAAAATGACAAATTTGAGGACAAAGAATAAATGCCCTGGTGGCGCAGTGGGTAAGAGCTTGGCTGCTAACCAAAGGGTCGGCAGTTCATGTCCACCAGCTGCTCCTTGGAAACCCTATGGGGCAGTCGACTCTGTCCTATAGAGTCGCTATGAGTCAGAATCGACCTGGCAGCAACTGATTCTCGTTTAAAGAGAAGGAGGGAGGGAAGAAAGAAGGAAGGACTGAAAAAATGAATGAAAGGAAATGATTAATCACAAACCAGGTATAATGAAGCAACATATTGGCGGTGGCGGGGATGGGTAGTGGAGAAGGAGGTGGGGGCTGGTTAGGGAATAGGAAGTCTGATCTTTAGCTTTGCTGAAGAAGCAAAATATAATTAGTAGCCTATATTCACCAGAAAACTAAAAATGGGAAGATAAAAATGGTTTTAATCGAAATTTAGGAGAGAAAAGAAAACAGAACATCTGATGGCTAGCATATATTAATCATTAGTAAAAATTTCAGTCTCTGAAGCATTGGTCTTTTCTATCTTGCTAATGGAAACCAGGATTGCTAATGAATCAGATCTGGGAAAAAGAAATTACATTTTAATCCAAAACAGCATATAGTTTAGTTTCTTTCGATCAAAGTCATAATTACATAAGTCCTCACTGACTTTTACTAAGGCTGTACTTCAGCATAAACTATATACTAAAAGGAACCTAGGAATTTTGGGGGGAGGAAGATAAAATTCCATAAACTCTTATTGCCTACCTACTGTATACCAGGTACTGTAAAAGAAGGCATATTGATCATAATGGAGGCAATAAAACTGGAAACTATTTGAGAATCCCCGATTATTACATTTCAATGTGACTTCCATAAGTTCAAGAAGCCCTAGTGGTGCAGCAGTTAAGAGCTTGGCTGCTAACTGAAAGGCCAGCAGTTTGAACCCACCAGCCACTCCTCAGGAGAAACATAAAGATTACAGCCTTGGAAACTCTATGCAGCAGTTCTACTCTGTTCAATAGGGTCACTATGAGTTGGAACTGCGTTTGGTTTCCTTAAGTTTAAGGGGCCTCAGATATAAAGTGGGAATAATACTTATCTTTAAATTTTTTGCAAGGATGATATAAGATATGATACAGAAAGCACTTGTAACTGTGCCTACATCATGGTAGGCCCTTAAAATTGGTAGCTATTTTATTATTATTAAATGCATAAAGATGCATTTTTGTAATCACTTTCAGGATTAAAATGATAGCTTTTACTTGCAGGCCAACGCAGAGATTTTCTGCATAGTAAGGTATAGCATCAAAGACTTGCTGACTAAATAAAAACAGTCACTGATTTTATTTTCATTCAGAAAATTAGAAGAAAAATAATATTTGGAAAATAAGAGAATACAATTATAGATGGTATAACTGTGCAATATTGTAAGACTTCATACATTTAAAAGTGGATATAAAACTAAATCACTATTTTTCTTTTTCATACATTTATGTTTAATGATGTTAATTAATTTAAAACCAAGAATCAGTATTATATTTTCTAACTGCTTACCCTCGAGCCATTAAACACATTAAATGTCTTTCTGATTATCTGTGAACCACTTCTCCAAAATGAGAGGTTAGCAGGCAGAAGAAATTCAGTGCTAAAAGAACTTCTCTGATATTACCTAATAATTTGAGGCAAGTCTGTATGTACCTCCTTAGCTATAGCTGCTGACCCTGTACTACTTCTTTTGAAGCCGTCTTGGTTTAAGGAGCCTCTTTCCTTTAAAATAGATCAACTGGCAGTTTTTGCTATGGTAATAAGCCTCATTCCTTACACATATTCCTTCAATTGTACAGTTACATTCATGCAGATTGACAGAAAAACCAGAACTTAAGATAAAGGACCTGAGAAATCACCTACCTATCTAGCTAATAGGAAATTAAAGCCAAGGTCCTTTATGTGGTGAGGTGAAACTTATCAACTTGCTAGCATTGTCAAGCATACCAAAACCAGGCTGGCCGAAGAGTTTTGTCTCCTACCACATCACTACTCCTATAAGCCTGCATGCCCATTCCATTGTTCAGCTCATTTCTGGAGTTCCCATTGGGAATGATCCTCAGCATCCCTGGCACATGTCCCTTTATCCTTTGAGTATGGTTTTGATTTTTGGAAGTAGTCCTAAATCCTTGGTTAAAACTGAGTCAGGTAAAGAGGGTATATGACTAAGCTGG